CTAACCCAAACTGCCTCTGAACTTCCATTGATAGTTCATCATTTATGAGTCCGCAGAACTTGATGAGTGAAACTTTACACTTTCCAAACATGATCAAACGAAATTTTTAACAGAATTGTCAATTTTCTGGAGACTGCTGGATAGGGGACGTTTGAAAACCCAGTCCAAAAGGGGCTACACGACTCATCCGGAAGTCGCAGAATATTGCATACCATTAACGGTTCGTCGTATGCCTGACCTTCAGAATCGGTTCTCATGAATAGCGAACTATGGAAGATGGATGAGCTACAGTAGAGACCCGGTCGCGTTGTCTCTAATGTCTGGTTCCATTAGCTGAGTCATTCTGGGTTAAAAGCATTCTGGGTTGTGGACATGGCAACTAGCGGGTCCGTGTTTTTTTACAACTGGCTTTCAGCAACAAAGCAATGCACGTTATATCGTTTATCTTGTTGTTTTTACATGCGTGATTGGTTTCTCGGGGCAGCAAAACTCCATCAGCTAACCCGTGCCTGGTAGACTTTATCCTATCAGACATTTGTTTTCTCAGTGTTGGGAGAATCCAGAAGAATAAAGGTGTCATTCTCGGTGTTTTCGCGCGAAATAGATTCAAATTCAAATTTTACAGCCAACAGTTGTTTATACAAGGCACCAATTTCCTTGCCCCGAGTCAGCCTTCAGTTAGTTGTGTATTGTAAGATAGGACGTGTGTAACAGGAACGAGCTTGTGGTAGGCAAGCATGTTGTTACTGACTGCCGCTGTCTGCATTTCTTGCTCCATTCATCTTATATAATGTTCGATCTAAGTCTAAACACTTGTGTAGGGTAAAATCTATCTATCTATCTATCTATCTATCTATCTATCTATCTATCTATCTATCTATCTATCTATCTATCTATCTATCTATCTATCTATCTATCTATCTATCTATCTATCTATCTATCTATCTATCTATCTATCTATCTATCTATCTATCTATCTATCTATCTATCTATCTATCTATCTATCTATCTATCTATCTATCTATCTATCTATCTATCTATCTATCTATCTATCTATCTATCTATCTATCTATCTATCTATCTATCTATCTATCTATCTATCTATCTATCTATCTATCTATCTATCTATCTATCTATCTATCTATCTATCTATCTATCTATCTATCTATCTATCTATCTATCTATCTATCTATCTATCTATCTATCTATCTATCTATCTATCTATCTATCTATCTATCTATCTATCTATCTATCTATCTATCTATCTATCTATCTATCTATCTATCTATCTATCTATCTATCTATCTATCTATCTATCTATCTATCTATCTATCTATCTATCTATCTATCTATCTATCTATCTATCTATCTATCTATCTATCTATCTATCTATCTATCTATCTATCTATCTATCTATCTATCTATCTATCTATCTATCTATCTATCTATCTATCTATCTATCTATCTATCTATCTATCTATCTATCTATCTATCTATCTATCTATCTATCTATCTATCTATCTATCTATCTATCTATCTATCTATCTATCTATCTATCTATCTATCTATCTATCTATCTATCTATCTATCTCTGTCTATTAGCTATTTAATTAATTAATTAGCTAGCTCCACGGACGGAGCTGTACTATCTGAAAGCGCGGCAGAGGAATATCCTAAAGGATAACTTTTTCAATTTCAAGGATTGTACCTGCTGGACGTCACAGGTCACAGTTTGAGCAAGCCAATCCGGAGAACATAAATCCTCCACGGGATTGTTCCTCTTACATCCATTTCAAAGCTCTGTCCTACACAACTCGTCAAGCGATTTGTTTCTAAACCCTCCACCCTTGATTTATTTAGGTTTTCACACAGTGAAAATCAACATAAACCGGAATGCCGGTAAAATGAGATTCATCTTCCAACTGAGATCCCGTCCTGTTACTGAAATGTAGAACTGCTTCACACTAATTTCGAGCCAAGAATATCGACTGAAAATTCCTCATACTATCAGCCCAATATCAGCCACTTAGGGTATCATTGATGTGGTGACCACGTGATGTGAATCCCCTGGTTAAAGGATCACTGACGCTATATCTTGCCTAGCCGCGAATCGATCGCACTGCTGGTCAGCTGTTCGTGGTCGAACTATTGCTATCCTATAGGTCCCTGGTTTGAATTTCCACCAGGATTTGTGAGACGCGTACTACTGATGATTTCCAGTCAGGGCAGACCGGCTGCAAGATGCTTCTCAGCTTCTAAGCGTAGTGTGGCTTCACACACACGCAGGATGAACTATCGACTGAAGTAGATTGGAACCACTGGTGCTTCTCATCTGGTCACGCTTTCACTACCACCGACTACTATAACCGGGGACTTGATCGTCTGACAACAGAAAACAATGCAACATTTGAGTACCACAATTAGAATTCTCCGGTCACTCTGTCAAGTGCCGACTTGATTTGCAGTCGCGTGCAACCATTCAGCACATCAGTTGGTGCCTACCGTGTCGTGACATGTAAGCAAAGCGGTCGCTGAGAACTGAGGTCACGACCGCTCATATTTGATTAACTTTGGATATCCGCATACCTACAAACTACCGCAAACCAATCTGTCTGAAAGCCGCTTTTCAACTGGACCGTGGTTCACTTCACCTTGTTTGTTTTCAATGCACTGGCGGCTGTTTCCATTTGTGAGTTTTCCGAAGTATGACACTGTAGTGGGTCACCCGAGAGCCATTCTTGCTACAGTTATACTCTCAGGATAGAATGGTTGTCCTGATGTTCATCTCTAAACTTTCAAAACTGTGCTATACTCAGGAGGCTTGGAGCAGACGTGGACAGTGTTGGCTAAGTCCCAAACACTCCGTTTGAAACCTTCACCAACAAACCAAGATGAAACGTTGGTGCGTAAAACTGGGACAGATAATTAGCGGCAAATCTTTTCCAAAAGCTTTTCCTTGTGTAGGAGAGACTTGACCTTTTCTCGCAGGTGACTGTATAAAAGACAGTTTGACCTTGCAGAGCTGTTAATGAGAAGCGCCCATCATGAGATCGAACAACCAATCCATCAAGAATTGATTCCCCAAGATGATTCTCATCATTATAATTCTTCAAAAGACAAGAACGTCACGAAAGTCCCTCACGAAATGATTGCTGAGTATCTTACCTGACCACCAAAAACACGAAATTGATGATGTCTTTTGATTTTACTCTGTCATACAAATGTCCAATTTTAAAACTGCTGGCGAAAATCAAAACGAGTGTTCAAGGACACATCGAATTTGTACTTCGGATGGAAGACGCTCTCCCGTAGAGTTTTCTCCCTCTTTTCTATAGAGTCTAAAATCAGGGGGAGGTCTTATTTCGAAGGCACCGAAATCTTACCAATGCATACCAGTGTAACGGTGAGACTGCTGATGGGAAGGCATGCGAGTAGTATGTTTGCCCTTGTAAATTCGCTTTGCGTCTCTTGAAAAGGGAGATCTGCTGCGGAATTTGTGGAGTCGTTTTGTAGCATTTGCTTGGATTTGAGTAATGAGTGATTGGAGTCAATGAATATCCAGAAAAGTTCACTAAGACGCGTTCAGGAGAAGATGGATGTCTAGTTTTTGTAAATAAGATGCAAATAAGAGTTTTGTTTCCCTGTCCAATAGTCTGTAACTGGCCAGTTGGCATTTTCTATGAAATAACTCCGCAGCAAAGGCCTTCTTGCTTTCACCAGTATAGCCTTCTAAGGGGGGGGGTTGTAGATAAAACGATGGATGAGCACAAATACAATTCCTTACATTGGTACAATAATTCCTCAAAGTGAGACGATGATGGAAAATTGGGATAGCTTGCATTTTCCGAGTAAAAGATATGATGACGGTGTGCTGTTCAATCGATTTACATGAATCAAGCATCCGAAAAATGAAGTAACCATTATCCTAAAGGTACCCACCCACTAGGTTGCTGAGAACTCTTCGACAGCTCATGACCTGTTGAACATAAGGTTGATGGAAACTCGGGGACTGCACCTACTTGATGAGCCCCAAAATGGACGAAACCGGTCGTGGGCTGTCGGAAGGTTTTCAGCAACCTTGTGGGTAGCTTCCTTTATCAAAATATACTGCGATACTATGATTCTCGTACCAACGGAAACAAGAGATCGCCTCTATGAAGCACAGTCACTTGGAAAATATCATAAACGAGAGATTAAACTTGATATCAGGCGAGTCTCTCGTGGAAACCAAATTATATTCAAATGGGTGCACCTGTCGAAGTTCACATTATGCTCTACGCAACTCTTCTGAAGATGAAATTAAACCATTGACGTACCCCCATACTTTGTGCATATCTGTCATGCACGAGGGTTGAGATACTGCCAGGTTGCCCAATCCTAGGCCTCATGCTTGTACATGAGATCAGATCCCTCAGCAACATCCGACTGAAGTTAGTACAGTCACCATTGTTTCAACTTGCACAAACTAGTGTGAAACAAAAAAAAACGCTTTTTTCAAAAACGTTTACTGTTTCGCAGGCGCAGCTTAATTCACATAGTCATTTTCCTCCTCGGTAAGAGCTCGTCACTGAGAATTAATTTTTCTTTGAGGTAGCGTTGAGTTCAATGGATCATTCTTGTATAAAGAATCCGAATACACAGATCCTTTTGTATACCTTCATACAGACCTCCCAATTGGTCTGTTTTCGAGAACCTAGGGTTGGCGGAACCTCGGGGACTGCGTCTACCTGATGAGCCCCAAGAAGGGTGAAACCAGTCATGGGTTGCCGAAGAGTTTTCAGCAACCCTGTGAGTGGTTTCCTTTAGGAAAAGGTCTGTTTTCACCCACGATTGTCAATCTTATGTACGCCGACGGAGCGTTTCGTTACAAATGGAGGTTTGATTTTCACACGCCGTCGTACATTTTCTATTTTAGTTGATTTAAAAGTAAGTATGGGTGACGTGCGACCTCGCTTACTGGGCTTTGGCTCACGAGCTTTCTTTCTGTTTCCCATCCACAGAGATTTTCATGAATCACCGTCGAACGGTGCCTTCATAGAGTGCTCACTAGAAACAAAGGCAGCAGCTGCTGGCCTCCTCGCTTTGGTCACAGTCTGCCGATTAAACTCACATTTCGTACAAACTATCACTTGTTCGTCTTTGAATGAGCTCTTTGAGCGATCGAACGACCACATTTTCGGGTCCAAGATCACAGATGGTTCGAACGCTATTCGTGTTTGCCATGATCTGATCAATATTGCGTTCATGATCTGTCGTGGGACAGACCTATGTTTTGCCATCCCGACCGACGAGTACTATAAGTTCGTGTGATGCGCTCTGAAGAAACAAACAGGTTTTCTTACATGCTTTATTGTGCAGTTTATCCACTGAGAGCTCGGAAAATTGGTAATTGATCAGATGGCTGTTGATCTGTTCGCCGAGCTTGACAATTGATTTGCAAACGTTTCCTCACCATTCGAGGAGACATCTTCAGTGCGCTGTTGGTTGGGTAGTTCCTCTCTTCGTGCCTGCTCTTATATAGTCTATAAAGAGCAGCCTTTGCGTTGTAACCTGGATTCTGGTTGGTCCGATCTTAATCTGTGTTGAGTTGTGGTTTGTATTTCCTGCCGTCCATTGTTGTCTCTTCCGGTTGGCCCAACAACAACAATGGACGGCAGGAAATACAAACCACAACTCAACACAGATTAAGATCGGACCAACCAGAATCCAGGTTACAACGCAAAGGCTGCTCTTTATAGACTATATAAGAGCAGGCACGAAGAGAGGAACTACCCAACCAACAGCGCACTGAAGATGTCTCCTCGAATGGTGAGGAAACGTTTGCAAATCAATTGTCAAGCTCGGCGAACAGATCAACAGCCACCTGATCAATTACCAACTAATGCACCCAAGCTATCAATATTCCAACACAACACCAGCTCGGAAAATGCCTATATCACATTTTCGCCTTCTAGGGAATAAAGCGCACTCTTTCTGGGAGTGCGTTCTCCCAGGAAGTCTACACCTCTTTCATACTACGAACAGCAGAATACGGCGAACTTCACTCTTCTTGAAGGCTTTCTGCCATTCTGGTTAATCTCAGTGCTTCACCACAAGCGCATCAAGAATCTTTGCCGGGTGATGTTGCGGACCATTCCTTGCTTGGAATTAACCAACTACAATGAAAACAGTTTTACTTGTAAATAGAGAAGAGAAATCATTCAACCAACATTTGGGATGGAAATCGCGCTATGATAGTTGATGAATAGACCATCTGTAAAAGATACACCACTTCTCCTATACAAGCGTCCACCCCTCCCCGCAGAACGAACACCCGTTTTTTGGAGTTCGCGCTGCTTAAGTTCAGTATACCGCTAATTTGGGATGAGATCGTCTGAACTTTAGTCATTCTGAGAAAACAAGTTCCAAAAAAATTTCCTTTTCGAAAGTTGTACCACTTTCGGATCATCCACAATACTTCCCAAATCATTGGCTTTCACACCAGTGACCACTATCCAGTTTCACTGACGTCCGGACGTTTCAACAACTGTCGCAGCCCGATTGCTGGTCGGCTCACGATGGTGCAGTGACAAACCCTAACATTCAGCTATATCGGGGGAAAAGACAGTAAAAAGGAAGGCTTCAAAAACCACTACAAAAGAGTATGGGGTCACATATTTCCATAGATACGTGGAGTTTCTGAGAGGCCACACTCTTGGAATAATTACTATGGAACATATGATAAACTCGTGAACCATTGGTGAACCAAATTTTTACACAGTTGTTTTATTCATATCCATTTATTTCTCAAAAATTTTGACGCACCAGCTATCTGATCCGATATTGAACGTAGTGGTTCTTCCACGAGGAAGACCAAAATGTTGCAATCGATAACCCTTCTCATTCTTACAAAGTTTGATAACAAATAAGCGTATGGTGTTCTATAACGACATATACTGCATTTGCGGTCTTTCGCAATCCATTCTCCAGTCATTACGTTTGTGAAAATAACCTCTTTCGGAATCTTGAGTTCGCGCTTTGTCAGGTGACTCCGAGAATCAGTGAGCAACTTACTTCCTCATGAACCGACGAACTTCCGGATAGACACCACGACATCAGCCAGTGCGAACAAAGTGCACTTTGCAGGACATCACGCCAGACACACCTCAGTCACGCAGTTCAGATCATATGGTCATGTGCTAACGTGCTGCTCGAGTGAACATATACAGAGCAAATCGTAAGGTTTCGTTCTTTGCTGAACAGAGCATTTACATTTTGGTGGCGATCAATACTCCATCGTGTGACCGAAGTTCACCCACGCCGAAAATCCTTGTGGTTCTTGTTTTAGGCATAGGTGAAGACAAGCTTAAGTCCCGGGGGGTTCCTGTAGTTCAGTTGGATTTGACGACACCAAGGCAAACTAGCAGTTAAAACAAGTCAAAATTCCTCGCCGCATGAGTAACGGACCGTCAGACTCAGTGTTTCTAATCCAGGCGGTTGGTGAATGAATGTGTGATAAAACGCACGGTTTCACCCATAACTAGTAAGCTATCAATATAGGCGATGAAGTCCAGCTTCCAGTTTCAGCCAGGCAGTTCCACTTCATACAGAGGTCAATCCTGGCAATCGTGAACACAGCAAGACGATTAAATTAACGTCTCATTCAATCTCGGGCTGACGATATCCTCTCGTTTAGTGTTGAAACGTTTGAAGTTTAATTACCAAGCTTGGCGAATAGATCAACAGTCAACGAATGGCTAGTAAGTAAGCTAGTCTAGTAATTTAAATAGAGGCGACTCCAATGTCGCTCCTAAAGCGGATTTTTGGTCGTTTCACTCGACTGGCACTGCCCCGAGTAATCAATACCTACATCCGACCCACCATGGAGTATGCTATACAAGCTTGGTCACCATGGCTTCAAAAAGACATAATTCTTCTACAGCGAATATATCATCGAGCCAAGAAGCTGGTAATTGGATTGCATAATAAACCATACGAAGACAGGATTGCCAGTCTCAACCTATTTGACTTCTACTATCGGCGCATCAGGGGAGACCTAATTCTAACATATAATACACTGAAGACACCTAATCATCCGCTGAAAAATCTTTTTGTCCGACGTCGACCACGAACGGGCAGGAGGCATGACTTTTTGCTCGCGGTACCTCACTCGAGGGTGAACCGTCGACGGAACTTTTTTGCAGTCCGTGTATGTTTCATTTGGAACTCCCTACCTCCCAGTGTTGTACATCCGCCGAGTTTAAACATTTTCAAGAACAATTTAGATGCATATCTTATGTCCAAACCGAATCCGGAACTGTGTAACTCCATGTGATACTCAGCAAACATTACGCATATTTTTGCGTCCCTTTGTATATATACGTTCACCGGTCGTTCGTTGTAAAGTTAACTGTTTTTTAGACCATTAAACCTTGAATTACCTTGAATCTGGTAGCGGGGGGAAGACTAGAAATCCACTAGGCAGGCGCCGACAATTCTGACCTGTTTCTAGGGTAGTTAAATATACACGTAATTCGGTAATGCTGGTGAGAACCATAAAAAAGAATACCGTAGAAAACTGGGCATCTGGCCCCAATATCTGAGGGACACGTTTAACAGTAACCTCAGCTAGTCTACGATAAATTGTCGTTTGCGAACACGCATTCGATACTACCTCAGTGATGTAAAGGATTACCACAGATGGATGATTTTTCGAAGAGCACCACGGATTAGGTGACAATTAGCTTTCCGAGTTTGCTTGCTCTATACATGAAGTTGTGTTTATTCTCAGTATGTTTTATTCACTTTTTTGCTGGCCATGCCCTATGTTTGAAGATCTGTCAGCCCGGTTCGTATATATCCTTTTGAACTTTCTGACACCGTGAAATGCGTGGCCTCTTTTCAAAGATTACCCGAACACTTTGTGTGACTGTCGCGTCTCGTGAAGTTGAGCATACATTCCAGCAAGACACTTTCACGAAGAATTTTATAGGATGAGGCATGTTGACCGAGTCCGATCTTGAGATTCTCTCTGCGCCAACTCACATGAAATTTCCAACTAAAATCTCCATACAACTGCTGCTTTCTTACCGGGAATTATGAGACACTTCACATCTCAAGAAACTCGGAGTATTCCTAACTTGCGACCTTCCGGCCAATGATTGAACATTCAATCGTTCGGCCACCAGCAGCACTCGCACTTATGCAGTCTGGAGCCACTCATCTCTAAATCACAGAATCCACACTACGTAGTCACGTATTGAACGGTGCTGCGGGTGAAAAATTATCCGAGCGACATGAAATTTTTGGATGTCAGAAGCATGCAGCAGATTTCTACAACTCCAACCCCAGTCCTCCAGACTAAAGTCGTTCCACTTGGAACGGGACAGGCTGTTAAAGCATTTTCGGTAACCTTGTAAGTAGTTTTCCTCTAGAAAATATACACACTGGAACGTGAATTGGCCGTGGTGTAGCACACTCAGCTGAGTCTCTCGCTCACATCAGTGAAATTTGCTGGTGAACGCTTGTCTTAGACTCTTCCAACACAGGCGGTGAGAAAAGAAAGAAGAAAGAAACGTTCAACTGTAGCACCCTTCAGGTGGCTAACTGCCACACCACCCGAAGGTTGCACGAGGAATGGGATACTGTCAGGTTGCCCAAGCCTAGACAGGGGAAGTCGAGTTGCAGAGTTCGGGTTCGAACCAATGACCTTCCGGTTAATAAATTCGCGCTGTAACCACTTGGGCCATCTCGCCCCAGCGGTGGGTGATTAATGCGTCCAATTTCACTCAAGAGAATATTAGATATTGTACGTAATCTATTGATTCACGAAATCCCCGGTCGTTAGGTCTGTGGTCAGACAGTGGCATTTGTGCTGTCTTTTAAGTTAAAAATATGGGTTAGAATCTTTGATGAAAAGACGCAAGGGAGGATGTTTTCTAACGCTGTGAAAGCAAAATTTGTTAAACCGAATACTTGGGCGTCATGATGTTAGTTCAATCAGGCTGAATTGGTTCGTAACCAAAAAGACAAACCACACCACCTACTAACAGCAGATGAGACTACAGGGGAAGAACAGAGTTCGAATATCCGCAGGAAAGTAAATAAGTAGGCAGTTAATCAAGTAACTAGCTAACTAACTAACTAACTAACTAACTAACTAACTAACTAACTAACTAACTAACTAACTAACTAACTAACTAACTAACTAACTAACTAACTAACTAACTAACTAACTAACTAACTAACTAACTAACTAACTAACTAACTAACTAACTAACTAACTAACTAACTAACTAACTAACTAACTAACTAACTAACT